GCAGTGACATGTCTTTCTGAAAGCAGCACTAGCTGTGTCCCTTGTGCTGAGAACCCTGGAGTCTAGGCAGCCTTTAGCAGCCTATCATTTGGCTGCTCATCAGACTAGCGTCATCTACACTCTTAAGGGTGGTAGCCCTTAGAGATCATCCTGTTGCCCCTCCAATTGTACAGGCCACTTATACAAGAAGAGCTGTTTGGCTCCGGGTGAGTCATTGTGAGGGACTAGGAGCCAGATAGATCTCTACCAGGCAGACAGACAGGGAAAGGGGCCACAGACAATACAAAAAGGCATGGCAGGGCTTTTTCTCCCAAGGGCAGGGCTGCCTTTCTGGCTGACCACTCTGGGCTGGCCAGACTATGTTTAAAGCCTGTCCTGAATGTGTTTACCTGAAGTTGTGGACCTGCCAGCTCCCCACCCCTTTTTTTGTCTAAACTGTCCAAACCAAAATTAGGGGAGAGGGACCCACCCCAGGACACTAGAAACACTTAAAATCCCAGCCGTGTGTGTGTGTGTGTGTGTGTGTGTGTGTGTGTGTGTGTGTGTGTGTGTATTCCAAATCTCCCCTCTGTGCAGAGAGTTTTTCTCTGTGTGCTTTGTTCTCTCTCTCTCTCTCTCTCTCTCTCTCTCTCTCCCCCCCTCTCCTTCCTCTTTTTCTCCCTATCTCTCTCTCTCCTCTCTCTTGTTGTGGCCTGCCGTGTCTAAGATTCTTCCTGCCCTTTGTTTCTTTAATCAACAGAGAAAATAAACACAGTGAAGAAAGCCATCCTAGGCAGGCTCCCTCTTGTGACCCTGGGGCCCTTGACCTTTTCCATTTCACCATCTGGTTGTCTTCTTTCTCCAGCTAAGTTAGAAATCTCTATAAGCAATGCTAGAATCTTTAATTAACTTACAGCAATCCTGTCCCTTAGTCTCCCACTCTTGGCATATGCAATGCATATTTGTTGTTAGGTTCAAAGACCTAAATTTTTAAAAATGCTGTTCTATTCCCTTGCAGTTCTGGTTGTTAAAAAAAATGTAAAATTATTTCCTAGATATAACCGCTCATACGGATGAATGACCACATCTAAATAAAGACAGAATTCTAGTGAGTTTGTTCAGTGTTAATTAGAGTAAACACCAGTCACTAGAGACTCGGCAATTACATGATGGTGATGAAAATGAACATTTAGCAGTGGAGAGGAAAACAGGAAGGGTTTATACTAAGGAGAATGATTAACCCAATTCTCATAGAGGAACTAAAACATAACAAAACACCAGAAAGGATAGCACATTGTATAAGGTTTTCAAATTCACCTCATGCACTCTGATTTATGACCCATCCCCACAATTAAATAAATTCTTTTTGGAAAACAAAAAGTGTAAACAATTGTGCTGGCTAGTTTTATGCTAACTTGACAAAGCTGTAGTCATGGGAGAGGAGGGAACCTCAATTAAGAAAATGCCTCCTAGGCAGGGAGAGGGAACTGGGATTGTCATGTAAATCAATCTTGTTTCTAATTCAAATAAAAAAAATGATAAAAAAAAAAAAAGAAAGAAAATACCTCCTTAAGATTGGGGTGGGGGTAGCCTGTGGGGCATTTTCTTAATTAGTGATTGATGGGGGAGGGCCCAGCCCATTGTGGGTGGAATCACTCTGGTGTGATCCTGGGATCTATGAGAAAGTCATGAAAGCAAGCCAGTAAGCAGCACTCCTCAGTGCCCTTTGCACCATCAGCTCCTGCCTCCATGTTCCTCCCCTGTTTGAGTTCCTGTCTGGACTTCCTTGGATGATGAACATGAGAAAGCACCCAATAAACCCTTTCTTCCTCAAATTGCTTTTGATCATAGTGTTTTCATCACAGCAATCATGATGTTTTGAGACATTTTGTTCTGGTGTGTTAGGGGAACAAGGCGATATTTACTCTCCTCCTGTCTAAGGTCCCAATGGTAAACCAAAGTTGGATTCCACACAAGCTGCTTACTGGGGAACAAATAAATTTATTGGGCTTATTTCCTGAACATGGGTGATCTCAGAGCAGCAACACTAAATATTCATTCAGCATGGGTATCGGCTTTCCCATAGCACATAGATGGAACTTCCTCTCCTACTCTTCTTCAACCTATATATCCCAGCCTGTCTCCGAAACCCAAGGCCAAGGGCAACTAGCACAGAATTTCTTACATCTGCTTTACATGATGGCATCCAGTTCATCCATGTTTTCTGCAAGCAACATAAACTTTTTCTTCATTATTAGGGAAATATAGTAGCAATATACTGTCTTGTCTTTCCAAGGGTTAAATAAGACAAATATTCACTAAAAATTGTAAAGAAGCTGCTTAGCAGAAATTCAAATTCCTCCAGGGTCAGCAGTTCTTGAAATCAAAATATGCTCTCGAGGTTGTGCTTCCTGCTGAAAATCGCATCCGGCTTATCTGCTTTGTCACTTTAAACTAGCCAATCACATAATCACATGAAGTTGAGCTCTGACCATTTGAAGAGACATAGGACCCCTTTTGTTTAGGAATAAAAACCCTGCAGGACACCCACTGGTGTGCTTGTCTGATCTGGTGTGGCTGCATACCATTTGCAGAGGCAAATCTTTTTGCCTTGCCAAAATACTTGGAATTATGTGCATTTTTCCTGGGATCCCAGACACATTTCTAACAGTTAGCTTTGTATTTTCAATGTGCATTAGGCCCAGCAAATGACATAGCTGGTTTGGCCATGATGATAATTTATAGTTTAATTTCTTTTTTTTTTTAAAAAAAACTAGTTTATTTAAATTTATTTTATGTGCATTGGTGTGAAGGTGTTAGATCTCCTGGAACTGGAATTACAAACAGTTGTGAGCTGCCGTGTGGGTGCTGGGAATTGAACCCGGGTCCTCTGGAAGAGCAGCCAGTGCTCTTAACCGCTGAGCCATCTCTCCAGCCCTATAGTTTAATTTCTAAGCGGGGATTCTCTCCCTTAATAGTTAGATATTCATATGAGTGTTTGTCCTATTGCTTATTTTTTAGGGTTACTATTGATGTAACCCCTTGACCAAAACAACTTGGGGAATGTCTTAGTTAGGGTTTTTATTGCTCTGACGTGACACCATGACCACAGCAACTCTTATAAAGGAAAACATTAAATTGGGGATGGCTTACAGTTCAGAGGTTTAGTCTATTACCATCCTCGTGGTGGGAAGCATAGTAGTATGCAGGCAGACATGGTACTAGAGACGTAGCTGAGAGGGATCTGATCCTCAGGCAGCAAGAAGAGACAATGAGCCACTAGGCCTGGTTTGAGCTTCTGAAACCTCAAAGCCCACCCCACAGTGACACACTTCCTCCAACAAGGCCACATCTACTCCAATAAGGCCATGCCTCCTAATAGTTTCACTCCCTGGTGAGCAAGCATTCAAAGAATGAGTCTATGGGAATCATTCCTATTTAAATGACCACAGGGAATAAAGGATTTGCTAGACTTCACTTCTACAATGCTGTTCATCATTGGAGGAAGTCAGGTCAGGAACTCAACTGGGACAGAAACCTGCAGGCAGGAGCTGATGCAGAGGCCATGGAAGGGCACAGCTTACTGACTTGCTCCTCAGGGCTTGCTCAATCTGCTTTCTAATAGAACCCGGGATCATCATCCCAGGGGTAGCCCCACCCACAATGGACTGGGACCTCCCCCATCAATCACCAATTAAGAAAAATGCACTACATCTAGATCTTATGGAGGCATTTTCTCAATGAGGTTCTCAGATGACTCTAGCTTATGTCCAGTTAACATAAAACTAGGTAGTACAATGTCTTTTCTTTGCATTCATCTCAAGTTTTCCCTTTGACATACAAGTAGAAAAGGCTTTCTTCTAAGTCTGTCAGATTACAGGATGTGCCACAAACAGGTCACAGGACCCATAGTGCCTGCCTTTAGCTTCAAAGGGTAGGGTCTCCAACCTTCAGCCTCAGCCACTGTCCCTGGTAATTCTCACATCAGTGCTGTTTGTAGCAGACAAGCAGAACACAGGGAGGATGTTAGAGAAATAACCCTCCCTTGACACCCAAGCCATCAGTCAGTCAGCTTACAGAAGAGGCTGAAGACCCAGCCTGCATTCAGCTTTAGCTCAGGGCTTGCTTAACTCAATCTGACAAGTCTAGGCCTTAAGGACCTTGTTATGGAGTCTCCAAGGGTTAGTTAAGATGTAGCTATTCAGAAAAAGGCCCATTCTCCTTTAAAAACTACGTCTGACCTCTTTTAGCATGTTGTCCTTGAGCCAGGTGCTGAGGTTAGTGGGGTGAACAAACACTGGAGTTAATTACAATAAGCACGGTGGCTTAAACATCGTGGGCTCACTTCCTGGCGATAATACTCGCTTTACAGAGCTGATGTGAGGATATAAAGACCTAAGAAGTGACTGAATAAACTCGAAGAGCTGTTTCAGGTGAGTGTTTGCAAGTTGCAATGTAGGCATATGATTAAAACAAAATGGAATCCAACTCAAGCAACCAAACCAAAGCCCTGTAAGTTATTCCTGGAAGTGTGTGGAGAACTGTTCCTCCACAGAAGAATCTTAGACAGAAGCAGCGATGGGAACAATTGGAAGTTTTTCATCTTTTCCCCTTAATTTTCAAATAACCAAACATGACTTTGAACAAAGCATTCCTTCCTAGACCACTAGCCCAGGTTAATTAACTGGCTAGAGACTCTAATAGAGAAGAAAAAACATCGCTCCATTCTACTGCAGGCTCTGTCTGGGGTCCATGCTGGGCTTCCTGGCACAGTTTCAGTCTTCCTCTTCCCACATCTAGTCCCAGGACCCAGAAGAAGGAGCAACCCGCCCGAGGCTCCCGCGTTGTCCCGCCACCTTGCTGGGCAGGGTTTCAAAAGGAAGCCCGCCCAACCAGAGGAGGCGGAAC